CCGGGCTGGCGGCGGCGGCGCCCATGGACGCTAACCGCCCGGGCGCGTTCGTGCTGAGCAGCGCGCCCCTGGCCGCGCTGCACAACATGGCCGAGATGAAGACGTCGCTGTTCCCGTACGCGCTGCAAAGTCCGGCCGGCTTCAAGGCGCCCACACTGGGCGGCCTGGGCGCGCAGCTGCCGCTTGGGACCCCGCATGGCATCAGCGACATCCTGGGGCGGCCCGTTGGCGCGGCGGGCGGCGGCCTCCTGGGCGGCCTGCCCCGCCTCAATGGGCTCGCTTCGTCGGCCGGCGTCTACTTCGGGCCCGCGGCCGCGGTGGCGCGCAGCTACCCCAAGCCGCTGGCCGAGCTGCCCGGGCGTCCGCCCATCTTCTGGCCCGGCGTGGTGCAGGGCTCGCCCTGGAGGGATCCGCGCCTGGCCGGCCCCGGTGAGTGTGCGGCCTGGGCGCGGCGGGGCAGCGGGGCAGCGGGCGGGTGCGGGCCAGCCTCACCGTCCTCCTTGCAGGCCAGGCCGGCGGGGTCCTGGATAAGGACGGCAAGAAGAAGCACTCGCGGCCGACCTTCTCGGGCCAGCAGATCTTCGCGCTGGAGAAGACCTTCGAGCAGACCAAGTACCTGGCGGGCCCGGAGCGCGCGCGGCTCGCCTATTCCCTGGGCATGACCGAGAGCCAGGTCAAGGTGAGCGGGCCCGGGCCGGGCGTCCTGGGGCCGGGGCGGCTCCTTGCGGGCCGGCTGCGCCGAGGCGCCGGGGCCCCGCGTCCTGCGAAGAGCTGAGAGTGGCCGCCGGGCCTGGAGCCCCGCCCGGGGAGGCGCCGCTGCACTGCGGCCGGGGACCCTGAGGCTGGTCCCCTAGTTCGGGCCGCGGTGCTGGCCGCGGACTAACGGCCGGGGGACCCACGATCCGCTCGAGCCGCCTGACAGCCCCGCTCCTATAGGTATGGTTCCAGAACCGCCGGACCAAGTGGCGCAAGCGGCACGCGGCAGAGATGGCGTCGGCCAAGAAAAAGCAGGACTCGGACGCCGAGAAGCTCAAGGTGGGCAGCTCGGACGCGGAGGACGACGACGAGTACAACCGGCCCCTGGACCCCAACTCGGACGACGAGAAAATCACGCGGCTGCTCAAGAAGCACAAACCCTCGAACTTGGCGCTTGTCAGCCCGTGCGGCGGCGCGGGGGACGGCTTGTGAGGACACGGGGAGGCCGGAGCAACCAGGGTACGGGGCGCGGGCGGCGGCGAGTTCCTGCCGTGGAGCGCGGGCGCGGGGCTGTGTATATATATTTTTACAGAATAAGTTATGAAGCGGCCGCTCGGGCTCGGCGTGCGGGGACCCGGCCGGCCCGCGCCCCTGCCCCGCGGCCCCTCGGGTGAGCACAGGGGCGCGGGGGGCGAGCCGCCGCCTGGGGCAGAATCACTTTGTATAATCAATAAATTATTTAACACGTCCGCATCGGGGCCGTGGCTCCGGAGCTGCGCCGCGTGTTTCTTCCGTATCGAACCCGGGGCGAAGCTCCTGCTTGGCGGCGCCCCCTCCCCGTCCCCGGTCTTCTCCTGGGCGCCGGCCCGCGCCTTCGGCCCTAGGGACGCTCGGAGTCAGGCCAGGCGGGGCTCACAACAGAGCCCACGGCAGCCCCGATCCCCCGCGCCCGCCGCGGCCTCCCTGCGGAGGCTGCGAGCCAGACCCGCTGGGCGGCGGCGGCGGCGGCGGCGCGCAGGAGAGAGGGGACAGCGCCGCGCCGCCCGCGAAGGCTTGGCGCGAGGACCCCGGGCCCCGGTGAAGCCTCGGGACGTCCCCCCACCGCGCCCCAAAGCGAAGAAGCCACCGCGGTGACGCGGGCGGTAGAGAGAGCCGCGAGAAGCGAACGATGCGTGGGAGCGCGGAGCGGAGCCGGGACAGGCGGGAAGGGTGCGGTCCGCCCCGCCTTGGCTCTCCCGCTTTCCAGGTACGCGCGCTCGGCCGCAGGTAAGGCCTTCCCTCCCGCCTCCCGCTGCTGCGCGCCTCGCGCCCTGGCCTTCCCGCGGCCGCGGGGCCGCCCGGCGAGTCACCGGCTGGAGCGCTCTCCTCGCGGTCCGGACCGGCTCCCTTGCGCTGGCTAAACTGGACGAGGTTTGCGCAAAGTTAAACACATTTTCGAGGCTCCGGAAGGGGAAGTAAACCGCACCCCACCGCTCGGGACCGCCTTTTTCCTTTCGCAACTTTGTCTCGTTTGGTAGCGGCCGCAGGTGGCTTCGCGGTCAGGTCTGGCGCTGCCCCTGGGCACCTGCCCCTGCTGACCTGACGATGATGAAGCTAAATACCCCCGGTGTATGCACTAAACTTAAACGGGAGGCAATAAATCAGTTATGAAATTTATCCGTACCTTGCCCCTTCAGCTATTTTAAAATTTCTCCATTGACCTAAATCACTAAATCAAACCAGAACTACAAAAGGAAATACAAAATAATTCCGACAACGGGCGCAGACGGGGTTTCCTCAAAACCCAGGACTTTGGTGTTTCACCCTCAGAGGTTGGGGTGGGGTGGCTGCTCTGCTGTGGAAGGGCAAGTGATTGCTCCTGGGTCCCCTGAAGGGGTCCCTCTGAGGTTAAATGCACTCGGGGTTAGGGTGGTGCTGCCTGGCCTTTGCCACCACACTGAATCGGGATTCGAACATGTGGGGATGGACTCCACACCTCCTGCTGGTGGGAACTAGTGCTGGGGCTGTGAAATGTAAGTTCATCCCAGCTCTAAGGGGCTGTGATACCAGTTAACAAAAACCCACCCATTCTATTCTGGTTAACAAAAACCCCCTTCTGTTCTGGGGACTCTGTGTGGTAGCTGCATCTCAGTGGGCATCTCTGGAGCTAGATTTCCAATCCCCGGGTGGGACGCTGCTGTAAGATCAGGTTTCTCTTGAAAGGCACTTCCGAAATGTAAAAGACAAGTTTGTCCATGTGGCTGCACCATTAATTAAGAAAAACTTCCGTTTTGAGCCCACTGGCTGGTTTTCCGGAAAAGGCAGGCCCGCCATTTCTGTGAGCGAATGATTCCCAGCTCAGGCTCAGAGCAAAGGAATTTCCAGTTTTAAAGTTTTGAGGAAGCGACGCATTTATAGGCACCCTGGTGGCACAGTGGTTAAAGCACTCGGCTGCGAACCAAAAGGTTGGCGGTTGGAGCCCACCAGCCCCTCGGGAGAAGGACGTGGCAGTCCGCTTCTGTAAAGGTCACAGCCTTGGAAACCCTATGGCGCAGTTCTACTCTGTCCTATAGGGTCGCTGTGGGTCGAGATCGACTTGACAAGTTTGGTCTGGGTTTTTACTGCATTTATATAATCCCACTAAAAAATGCTAGAGGGTAAACCCCACTAGTTATCACTAGAAAAAAAAGAAAAACGCAGATTATTTTTCTACTCCCAACTAGTGGTTGACTTGTCTGTGACGATATCTAATGCCCTGCGATCCCAGGGTTCCCGATGCGCAGAATCTCAGGTAGCAGGACACAGAGGGGACCCCCTTTCTGTGGCAGACAAACGGGAGGGGGAACAAAGCACACGCAGAGTGGTGTTCACCAGGATCAGTTTTATTGCTCGGGAACTGGGGCGGTCGTTTCTACAGGCCTTCAGGGGGACCACGCGCTGAGCCCGCTCACAGTGGCGCGGCGGCGGCCGCACACGTGGCGCGCTGGCCGGCAGTGAGCACAGCACTTCCACAGACCGACCGCGTCGTTCCAGACACAAAGCCAGCAAGCGGACGTCCACTTGTTTGCAATGGTAGTGATTTATGTCAGACAAGCGCCAACTAAAGCCATCCCGCAGTCCAGGAACTCTGTAGTGTTCTAAATGAAATCAATAAAACGCACATCTGTGTTTTCACCGACACTCTAATCACCGTCTAACGTTGTACTTAGTGCGAGGAGATACATCGGCAGCAAGGTCACACGTAGGCTGTTCGCAGCCGAGCAGACATTTACAGTTTCGTTTCTCTTAATATTTTATATACAGCCCATGCTAAAAGCAGTTTCTACTGGAAGCAGACTAGGCTATTTTTACTTCCCCCATGATATTATTGTTTTAATGGAGAACACTTGGCACCATAAAACTGTAACAAAAGACAGACAAAACAGTTTACAAAATTCTCAAAAGGTACACCCAAGCCTCGCTATAAAGTTCACATTCAGTTCTTAATACCACAGAGAGGGGACAGGTCAGGGGCCGCAGTGGGGGTGCTGTGGAGGCGGGGTCCACGGTGGCACAGCTGGGGCAGAGGTCAGAGGGTAGGCTTTGTACACATGTGTGCTGGCAGCCACGTCACCAGACTGCTGGACCCCGATTCTACCTGCTGATGGACGCTTACAAGCACTCATACTGGAAAGTACTTAGCATACGTTTTGGTAAGATTTATAAATTATTTTAAAAAGTATATATTTATATATATATTTATGTATAAAATGGAAAGCAGCTGCGTGAGATTCGGAGACCATGGAACATGGCAGTAGAGTAAATAGCACGGTGGGGCAACTGGGAGTGACAGCCGCGGCCCTTGTGGGCTGACCGTGGCCATGCCCCTGGGTCAGCTGAGCCCCCGGGTCAGGGGAGCCCCCAGGTCAGCAGAGTCCCCGGGTCAGCTGAGCCCCCGGGTCAGCAGAGCCCCGGGGTTAGGAGAGCCCCCTGGGTCAGCAGAGCCCCCGTGGTCAGGAGAGCCCCCGGGTCAGTATAGCGCCCCCGTCAGGAGAGTCCCCGGGTCAGCAGAGCCCCTGGCGCACCTCCGACTGGCAGAGAGGATGCTGACCCCTGTGGGGCTTCTGTGCTGGAGAAGCTCTTCCATGCTGACAGTTATTAAAAATTGAAAACAGAAATCTAAAATACAGAATCTCCTTGCTGTCTATTAGAGTTTTGGCAACAGGACTGTGACTTATTTTAAAAACCCAATATTTCTACTTAATGTCACATGAACAGACAAGACAGTGAGGTATGTGAGGCTTTTCCGGAATGTTCCGGAAGCTGAAGCGAAGTGTGGGCCGGCGTCTAGCAGGTGGCGCTCGGCGGGTCTATCAATGCAGCTGTTAAGGTACGTGTTTCAGGATCCTGCTCCCTCCGTCCCTCCTCGCTACAGGGTGGTCTCGCGAAGGGGCCTCTCTGCGCGCTGGCATCTCTTCCCTGCGGGGAATCGGGGAGTCCGTAAAGGGGCGAACACAGCGGGAAAGCTGCAGAAAGGAGCATTAGAGGGAAGGAGTCCTATTTACCACATGTCACTGCACGACACAACACTTGTGCACGGGCGCGTGAGGTTTACCTGCCCCAGGCGCGATCCGGAAGGCCAGGAACACGGGCTGCAGCAAGGAGGAGAGAGGCGTGAGCCGGCAGCCCACTGCCCACCCGCAGCCTCACTCTCACACAGCACCAGCCACCCTCCCGCCCTCTGGGCCTCGGCCGGGACCCTCATTCTCACGCAGCACCACCCGCCCGGACCCTCAGGCTCCCACAGCGCCACCCGCCCCTCAGCCACGTGCACAGGGTGCAAATACAGTCACCTCGGTTACACGGGACCGAGACTGGGAACTTAAGGATGGGACCTTCAAAGAAAGCACTTTTCTTCTGTAAAAAAGAGGGTATTTCTAGACAAAAATTATTAAGACTGAGGGGTGGTGGCCGCTGGTGGACCTGTGGTCAGGTACAGAGCTGGTCCCTGTACAGACGACCAGAGATGACTCCGGTGACAGCTGGCATAGGAGGGCCACTAGGGCGTCTTACAGGCCAACTCGAAAACGGCCTCCGAATCATCAGCGGCCAACAAAACGTCTTCATAGATAGTAAAGTTATGTATTTTATTGTAATGTGAGTACTTGTTTCTGCTTCTTCCTATCTGTCTTTCAGTATTTTATTAAAATTAAACAAAACAGACCAATTTGGCCTACTCTGTAAGACCGGACTGAGGGCACTTAGAAAAACAGAAGCAACCGCCCGTCCAGAGCCCCCCTGGAGCCCCCCACTGCCCCCCGCTGCCCGCCCACCTGCCCACCATCCCCCCGCCTGCCATCCCCCTGCCCCCCATCCCACCGCCCCACCTGCTGTCCCCCCGCCCGCTGTCCCCCGGGCTGGGGCAGTGCTCACATCACCTTGTGGTCTCCCATGCAGACGTTGGGCCCGATGTGGTCGTAGGTGACAACCTTCTCCTCGCTCTCCGACTGGGAAAAGCAAACGGAGGAATCGGTGCCGGAGGTGGGGGGCATGGGGTGGGGGGTGCAGGACAGTCCCCGCGAACGGCCCGCCCCCTCTCTGCCACCCTCCAGGAAGGTGCTGGCAGCACCTGGGCCCAGTTCTTTGGGTGAGAGGGCTCCTGTGGCGTGAAGGGGGTGTCTGGTGCCCCAGCTCTCCTCTGTCCCTGACACCTGGCTGTGCTCTGGGGAGGAGCAGCCACGTTCATGCCACGCATCCACTCTGAACACTCTCCTGCAGTTCGTCCCTCCGTCTCCACGTGTCCGTGACAGCTGCTCTACTAACCCAGATCCCCTGTTCAAACAGGCGCTCAGGAAGCAACCTGCACATTAATTAACTCTGCACGTGCACGCGGCGCCGGGCAGGTGCCTTTATTTTGTGGGAGGCACTGGGGGTGCTGGTGTACCCAGCCCGCTCTGAGTGGGCCTACTCTCACGTCCATGGCCACAGGGCCTATGACGAGGACGCTGGACGTGAAGTAGGAGCTGGGGTCGGGTGACTTGCCAGCAAGTGTGCGCGCAGGCTTCCGCGCCGTACGCACGACTGCCTCCCCATCCCGGAGCCTGCCACTGCGCGCGAGTGCGGGCACATTCATCAAACGCAGCGTGGTAATTTACAAAGGCGGCGTAAAATTGCAGGTTTTCAGCTGCGTAATCTTTAGACAGATAAACAAATGACAGCGACGCAGGCTGAGCGGCACACCTCACTGAGAATTCATCGTGCGGCCACTGGCGCCGCCCCGCGTCACGCGCAACCTTTGGCGTCTCCGGGCCGGGAAGCACCCGGGACGTGACGGCGGGTGACCGAGCGTGGCATGATGGATGAGACGCGAGGCTGGCTACGGCAGCGTGTCTGCACAATCTGCACCGGCCGCCAGCCGCCTGCCCACAGCTCGGCAGCTCTGGCACCGGGTGCTGGGACCCGCAGGCTGCGGGCGTGTTTCCAGGGGCACCCAGAGAGCCGGCGGCCGCGTGCACCGTGCCGTCAGCCTGGATGGACGGCAGACACGTTTCCGCGGTGTTTCAAGGCATCGGTCCTGGGTCCGCAGAACCGGAGAGGATCTGGACCCACGGGAAACCACAGAGGGCGTCTCCTTCAGTGCTGATGTGGGCCTGGCCACCAGCACCGCTGTTCTGTCGCCAGCCCAGGCACACGCCTCCTTAGCGAGTTTCCTGAAGGCTGTGGTCCCTCCAGGGGCTGCATGTGTCTGTCTCCTGTCCACCCTTTAAGTCCCTGAGGGCCTCTGCCACCCCCAACACCTGCCTCCCCCACACTTGGGGCCACCTGCTCTGAGCACTCAAGCATCAAACTGCACCCACAGCCCAGGGACGCCCATGTCCCTCAGCCTTCACTGCAGGGTGCGCTGGCATTCGGCTCAGGGCATCACAGGACGAGGTTGGGGTTTATCCTGAGGGTCACGGTCAAGAAGGCCTTGGGCCTGGGGACGTAGCTCGTGCCTCCCCCAGCCCTGATGGTTCAAGTGCCCAGACTTTGCCCCAGGGACAGCCCAGACCCAGCCACAGGGACAGTCCGGCCCCAGGGACAGCCCGAAACAGGGACAGCTCAGCCCCAGGGACAGCCCAGACCCGGCCCCAGGGACAGTCTGGCCCCAAGGACAGACTGGGCCCAGGGACAGCCTGGCAGGAACGTGGCGCTGGCTCTATCCCCGTGAGGCGTGCTTGGCCTGGGCTGTGACGGGGACACTTACCCTCAGAATCAGCTCCTTGGCGGACAGGGACATGAGGATGCGGTCACACCAGGCGGGGCAGCGGGTGTTCATGTACTGTCTGCCCTGGCTGGAGTCCTCGCTGTACGGGTAGCTGGGGAGACACGGGAGCCACGGTCAGCGGGCTCCGGCTACTGAGCATTCACGGGGAGGCTCCAACTCCCTCCCAGTGTGACTTGGAATGGCAGAGGCCACCAGGACAGCAGTGGACACTGGGAGTCCCCAGGATACAAGCCCAGGTTTGCAGTTCAAGTTCTCTCGTGACGTTCAGTCCTAGCACTTCTCAGATAAAGCATCCTTTAAAGATACAGCGCCGTCCACGATGCTTTCATGGCTGGCTGTATTTCGGGACGTGGTCCAGAGGACAGTGGGGACCGGCATGGAGGAGCGTGCAGGGCACGCTGCCGCGCCCGACTCCATGCCTGCGTCCGGCACATCTGGCCCCCAGGGCGGCCGCATCGACCCAGTGCTGACGGTGGGAGACAGCTCTCGGACGGCAGCCGCCCCGCCCCAGATGCCTCTCCAGACCCACACCCGCCGGGACTGCCCTTCTGGGCCACTGTGGATTTAACACTAAAGGGGGACCCGTTTCCAGCGTTTTACCGGGGACTCATTTTTCTAGGAGAACAAAGGTGAAGCCTCAGGGAAGCCCTCAGCCTGTCAGGAACAGACCCTGGCGGGCGGGTGGCCGGGGCTCGGCAAGGCTGCGGGGTCTGCCTGGACGTCAGGCCATCCCTGTCAGCTACCAAGGGCCGCGACACACAGCCGCTGCAGCCACACCGGGACTGAGTGCCAGGGACCAGCCTGGCCCCCCAGGAGCTCAGGAAGTGAGGAGCCCCCACAGGGCTGGCAGCGGCTGAGACACACCAGGGGACCAGCACGGCCCCCCGAGAGCTCAGGAAGTGAGGGGGCCCCCACAAGGATGGCGGCGGCTGGGACACACCAGGGGACCAGCATGGCAGCTGGCAGGGAGCCGGACAGACCCTGAGTGTCGTCGGCCACACCCACTCAGCCCCCACCCAGCAGACAGCCCCTGCCCAGCGGACACCTCTGCCAAGCCATTCCTGGACTGGGGGAAACTGGGGTGTCAGCAGTGGGCGATCTGGCGTGTTCCGGGGAGGGTCCTTGTATGGGCCAGAGTGATTCTGTGAGGGACCAACGTGTGGCCAGCCAGCTGCCCCGTTGGCCACGCGAGGGAGGCCGACCCAGAAGGGCCGGGCAGTGGACTGCACTCCACATGGGTCAGGTGCCAAAACCTCTCAGTCACAGCCGCAGCGTTGCCGTGGCAACAACAGAGCCCATGAGGACAGTCCCCATGGCGCCTGACGCTCTAGTCAGCTTCCACTCTGAGCTGCTTGGGGAGCTGTCGGCAGACACCTGACGGGTGTGTCCCGATCGGGCGGACCCATCAATTCATGGCTGATCAGCAAAGAGCCTCAGTCGCTTGGCCAGGCCCGTGGTGGGTGCCGGACCCTCCCTGCCGTTTCTCTGTGTTTGAACGTTGTCGAGAACACACACGTGTCTGCACACACGCACAAATCATGTCCGGAGACGGGTCAGGTGTCAGCGCAGAGGACCGGGGGTTGGGGCCGGCGGTGCAGGAACACGAGACTGACTCAGCGTTGCTGCACCGGAGCTGGTCTGGCACCCACCTCGGCAGCCAGGGGTGCGCAGAGTGAAGGTGACATCCCTGTGCACGCCCTGGGCTTCTGCCTGCACCTGGCGGGGGGGCGGGGGGCGTCCTGGGCTCACACAGTGCACTGGGGGCGGGGGGGGCAGGTCTCTCAGCAGGGACGGCTGTGACAGGGCGTCTACAGGTGACAACAGGCGAAGGAACCTGGATCTGTAGGGTCTGAGGCTGCTGAGACTAGCGCTCCCACCTGGACACTGCCCCATGCTGCCCTGACACCCAGAGGGGCCCCCAACACCCAGAGGGGCCCTGACACCCAGAGCGGACTCAGCACCCAGAGGGACACCCCAACACCCAGAAGGATGCCCTGACACCCAGAGGCACCCCAATACCCAGAGGGGCCCCCAACACAGAGATGTCCTGATACCCAGAGGTTCCCTGACACCCAGAAGGATGCCCAGACACCCAGGGGGCACCCGACACCCAGAGAAGCTGCCAATACCCAGAGGGGCACCCCAACACACCCTGAGGGGCCCCCAACACACCCAGAGGGGCCTCTAATACCCACAAGGGTGCCCTGACACCCAGAGGGCGCCCCTCCCCTCCCAGGAGCATCAAAGAGCAGGTGGGGAGAACTGGTGTTGACGGCTGTGAGGGAGCAGGGTGCACTGGCCCCGGACCCGGGAAAGGGTGGGGCTGCGGCTGCACCCCCACACCCACACCCCCAGCCACAGTGCTCAGAGGCCAAGAAAGGCGCTGCCAGCGGCTCTGAGGAGACCACCTGAAGGTGGAGCGAAGCCGGGCTGACACATGCCGTGGGGGAATGATTAATGTCAAGACTTATCTGAGAGCAAACCCAGCGCGGGTGGGACCCCGGGAAGTCGGCCGTATCTCTGCCCGTTCAGCTCCGGCGCAGTCGTCATAATTAATGGTTGTGAAGATAAACCTAACAATCACCCACCTGTGCTCGCCGGTGCACACCCCGGCCCTGCCCCTCCAGTGCCCGCCTCTCGGATGTGGGCAGTGGCCCCCCGGCCAGCCCCGTGAGCCGCTGTTTGCTGGCCAGGAGTCTGAGCCGTGACAGCCCGAGTGCCTGACCTGGGTGGTGGCCTGTCTCCTGCACAGTGTTGTCATGGGCTCCACAGACAACACGAGAGCACGCAGCCACGGGTCTGCGGGGACTGCAGGGCGGGGCCTGTGGGGGTGCTGGTGAGGCTCAGAAGCCCGGGAGCAAACGGAAGCGGGGGTCTGCGGCTGCGCTGCAGTTCTCGGCCCTTCCCATGACACAAAGATGAGCGTTTTCACGACAGCTCTCAAAAATGCCCTCCTCAGAAGGGAAGGACAGGGAGGCTGGAACATTCCACAGCACGGTCCTCAGGTGTGGGAGGTTGGGTGGCCTCCTCTCTGACCACCACCTGGTCGAGTACTAATACTCCAAACCCACAGTACTGCTCAGCAGCTAGAGACCTGCGGCCCCACAAGTGACCACCGTAAAATCTAACTGGTGTGGCCACCAGCAAGGCTGTCGCGGGCAGAGACCAGAAGTTAATGCAATAAATGCCACCTCCAAGGGTCTGGTTTCAAAAACACCAAGCGCTGTTTAAATTCCTGAAAAGCAGAGGAGACCACAGATAAAGAACTGAAAAGAAGTCTAGCCAGACATGTATTACTGAAATTAAGTGGAAGAAATCAGCAACCCACACCCCTCTCAGCACCCCTCACAGCATGTGGCCTGTGCCGGGCGCCTGCGCAGAGTCCCAGGTCGAAAGCGTATCGCCATTCTCCAGCCCCCCAGCGCTGTCCCTGAGCGCTCCAGCGGGCTGGTCTGACCAGGTCCATGACGGCCCACAGGCTGGCAACTCCCCTACCTGAGCACCTGGATTTGGCACTGATTGTTCAATGATGGATATTACCATTATAGACGCAAATCGATGCTAGCACACTTCAAATTAACTCAAAACCCATTGCCGTCGAGTTGATTCCAACTCAGTTAGGGCCCCCAAAAGCTTGAAAAGGCCTCCTGATCCTTGATTTTAAAATAAAGGTATCCATTAAAGAGACCCGTCCTTTGGCCTGGCTTGTTAATGCAGCATACTCCTCGGTAATATATATTTTTGTTTTGTTCAAAAGCTGAAACCTGATTTTCTTCTGTAATTAATTTGTTCAGTAAGTGTTCTCTTTCCCCTGGGGAGATTCATCTGTTTCGGGAAGGCCTGACTCCCCCGACTAGACCTTCTCTGGTGAGCCTTCAATTCTGGACGGGCAGAAACAGGACTTGTCAGTGTTTCTATTTCTTCAAGCTTAAACTTCATACCGATCAATGTACGACAGACATGAGGCAGAGCCAGCTCCACGATGCTCCCCGATCAAGAGACAGGCCGCCCCCGGGAGCCGCGGCGGTGAATCCACCCAGCACGAGTCCGGAACGAGGCCGGAAGTACAGCACCGCTTCAGGGGGCTCCAACGCTCACTCTGTACTTGGGCACCTGGTAACGCCGCAGTGCGGCCTCCTCACTGGTTTGTCCCGTTTCAGGATCAGAGTCCATTCCCAGGCAATCTGCTTATTCCAGTGCTCAGAGTGTGGACCTCTGAGGGGTCCCGGAGGCGCCTTCGGCAGGGTCTGCAAGGTGAAATTTATTTACATAATCCACTAAGACGCTCTCTGCAGCCTGCACTGTGTTGACATTTGCACAGATAGGGTCTCAGGTGAAGCCCTGGGCTGCTATTTACGGTGTTGGCTAAAGAAGCCGCCAAGCTCACAGAGCACCAATCTTCTTGAATGAAAGAGGGACAGACAGGCTGTGGTTACTCAGGCTTGGGTATCTGATGGGCTAAATGAGCCAGTCACTTCAGGGGAAACAGTTTACTGTACTCATTGCCAAGGAGGAAATTCAAGCTTTCAAGCAAAAATCAGAATTCTGAACACCTGTATCCCGCTTGTGAGCCTTACTGCACCCAAGCACTTAAAGATTCTCTGATGGGACCGGTGGTGTCCTGACACTCATGACTTTTAAGGATGAAACGTGACATCTGAGGTGAGGATGAGACGTGACGTCTGAGGTGAGGATGAGACGTGACGTCTGAGGTGAGGATGAGACCTGACATCTGAAGTGAAAATGGCATGTACCAATGATGGGATCAGCATCCTGACGCAGGTGGGAAAATACTTCTGCTTCACATTAGTGGAAAAAGCAGGCTACAGACTATATACTTATGCTTTGCTCTTTATTTTAAGATAACAATAATTCTCAAAGTTAGGCCATAGGTTAGAAATTCACATCTAGCTGGGACTCTTACACAGATAGCTTTGGTGACAACTTTTGATTGCTCCAGATCTCTGCCCTCACGGTCTTGGGTCGTCACTAGGGCTCTGCAGTCAGGCTCTGAATGGCCAAGTGGGGTCTAGGAGGGAACTTGGGGCCAGAAGGCAGGTAGAGGGCAAGACCACCGTCCCCAACACTGGGGACCCTGGACGTCTGGGCAAACAGAATGATGATAAAGTATGGCGAAGGCTTACCCTCTCGGTTTTTACTTCAAACAGCTGACGTGATAAATTCTTCATCAACGCAGAGTGGCTGGTTTGTACCAGAGAAACCTGAAGGGACAGGCTTATGCCCCTGATGCCAACCTTACTGTCTCTGTACGCCGGCGATGCCCACACTGACAGCACTACTGAGTTACGAGTACCTGGACACCTATGGTGTCTGCCTACCTGTGGGTGAGATGGGGGCACTGTGGAGCAGGAAGGGCGGCAAGGCTCCCCGCAGGTAGGGGGGGCAGCCCTGGTCCTCCTGCAGCCCCAGGGCTCTCCTCTAGCCTGTGCTGGTGGCACCCCTGCCTCGGACCACCACCCGTGACTGCCTGTCCCTAATGGAGGTGCCACGCGATGCTGCCTTGAACTGAGGAGAACAAGAGCTGAAGGCTCCATGAAGTCTGAGACATTAGTGCCTTCTCCAGCAAAGTGACAGATGGTGTAAGCTTGTGGTCCATTAGGAGGAGCGAGGAGCGTAGGAGAACAGTGATGAGTGCTTTGCTGAGAAGACCTGCCTGGCCTCTCAAGACAAGGCCTCTCTCCTCAGGAGGCCCCTCTCCTCATAATGCCCTCTCCTCACAAGGCCCCTCTCCTCACGAGGCCCCTCTCCTCACGAAGCCCCTCTCCTCATGACGGCCTCTCCTCATGATGCCTTCTCCTCACGAGGCCCCTCTCCTCACAAGACCCCTCTCCTCACGCGGCCCCTATCCTCATGATGCCCTCTCCTCACGAGGCCCCTCTCCTCACGAGGCCCTCTCCTCACGAGGCCCTCTCCTCACGAGGCCCCTCTCCTCACGAGGCCCCTCTCCTCATGAGGCCCTCTCCTCAGGAGGCCCCTCTCTTCACGATGCCCTCTCCTCAGGAGGTCATCTGTAATGAAGGGCTCAGAGGTGGCTCTGGCCAGTACCTGAGCCCACACTGACCCTAGGAGTGCAGAGACGACTGTCCTGCAGCCCCGGGGCTGAGACACCATGATCCCTCCTCTGCAGGAATGGCTGCTTCTCAGGGAGAACGTCCCGCCCATGGCGGCAGTGGGTGTACCTCCTGCAGGCAGTGTGAAGACGTGCCCCAAAGGGGACCCACAACGGCTCCATCTGCCGATATGCACCATGCTTATACCATTAGATTCTGAGTGCTAGGCGCGATGGCCAGAATGACAGGGTGCAGGGCCCTCTGTGGAGAGTGCCGAGGGCAGAAACAGAGGGATGCAGACCGGCTCCCACAGTCCCATCTGAGGAGCATGCAGTCCTTATGAACAGCACTGGGCAGACAGACACTCACCCCTAGCTACTTCGACCCAGCTGCCCTCACCTCCTGGGGGCTGGTGGAACGGACACCTTAGTGAACACACGGGGTGACTGAGGGGCCGGCCCCATGGGCTTGAAGGCGCCACTCTAAGGACAGTGCTGGGGAGGGTCCTGCAAACACCCTGCCTCCAGCCCCCTGGGCACCAAGACTGCGCGGCTGGCCGGTGAGGGCACGGCAGCCTCCTGAGGAGCCCTGCAGGCTCTCGCTTGGCCGTGACTCTACGGGCCACTGTGTGTCAAATGGTTTATTCTTCTTTACTCCCTGTCCCCCGGCCCTGGGCTGGCTGCAGGGGCTGATGCTATTGCTGTTACAGACGTCAGCGGTATACGAAAGTCAGAGCAAATCAAGCAGAACCTTCTGCATCTGAGAACTGACGGACAGACCTACAAAACCGAGAGGCCCGGCCCCAGGACACCACACTAGGACGGGCTCCAAGTTCCAAAGATCCCACAACACACAGGTCTGATGTCTCCGTGATCTGCACAGAAAGAAGTGCAGAAAAGAAGAAAACAGCATCACTTTTTACTCTCAACTGGGTGTTCCTTTCTGGCTGAGGAGAAGACGGGAGTAGTGAGCATGCACGGTCTGCACACACAAGTGTTTGCACACAGATGAGCATTTGCACAGACTGCACACGTGACCGTTGCTACACACGTGCATGTCTGCATACATGTGGGTATCTGCACAGTTTGCACACATGTACACGTTTGTACGCAGACTCACGACACACTGGGAGGGAAGAGGTGAGAGTTACCTGGTCTACGTGGCAGAGAGCATTTCTCACCTGGGAGGAAACGAGATGTCCAGTTCATACAATCTGTCTTTGAAGACAGACAACTCTTTGTCAAATTCTAGAAGCTAAAGAAAAAAGATAAAAGAAAATACATCACTTTGTATTTCCTGAATGGAGGCTCCAAGAAGTTTCTGAGGGCCCGGGGTCTGTGTGTGCCGCAGGCAGCCCCAAGCGTTTGGTGCACCACCCTCCCCACATACACCCCCACTACAGGGAGTCCCTGAGTTGTGTCTCCAGAAAGATCTGTGGGTGCCGGCGGTCTGGAGTTCAACTACTACCACTGTTCAAGGACGTGCCCGCTGGTGGACAGCGCAGTGTTTATGTGGCAGGAGGGACACAGACTCTCAGCAGGAGAGTCGCCTGAGCAGGTGCTACATCATGAGGCAGCACAGCCCGTCTGGAGCACAGGTACAGTCCACGCGGGCGAGACCAGCCCCAGTTCTGCCCGGGGTCTAAGCCTCAGGCTGGGCCACACAGACTTGGAAAAACCAGCAGGCAGAGGCATACAATGGCTGTGCGCACACAGGGGGTCTAGCCCTGCCCACAGGCCCTGCAAAGCTCACGCCCTGAGGCCCACGCCACCCGAGCTCAGAGGGCCACCGCCAGCAGCACAGACCGCCGGCTTAGAGAGTGTGTTGCAAGGCACGACTCGGCTGGCGCCCGTCCATCAGTCACGTCCGCCTTGCAGCTGGGCTGAGACGCGGCATCAGAGCAAGCACCCCAAACCAGACCATGTCCTCCTCTCTGTCACCTCATGAATCACTCCTGGGCGTGCAATCAGCAGGCATGTGCATGCTAATTACCGCGCGAGAGGCTATACCTGAGCCTCCACCATTGAGCCCACCGCCGGGGTCATACTCATCCCAGCTCCACACCCCCCACCCAGCCCCCACTCCACATCAACTTACTATCAGTTACAGGAAAGTAACCTAGAGCAAAGTGTTTATCTGCACTCGGTGTGAACTAACACTCACTGAGCATCCTATAAAGGATCAGAAGGGCTGAGCGGACAGTGGAGCTGCAGAGGCTACGCTGTTGGGCGTTTCTACACAAGGAATTTCAAATGGCGTCCTGACAGAGTCCCGTGTGTCCCGTTCATTGGGAATGCCTCTGTGTGCAACGCATGAGCAGCATCCAGCTCTGGAAACGCTGGTGCCAGAGAACGCGGTGTTCTCGTCCCAGTGAACGAGACCCCGGCTTGTGTCTGAGCCCTTAATGGCGGGCCTTGGCCAGAAGGCCGGACACTTCCCGGATGCTCACAGACCTGGGGTGACGTCTGTGTGGGCTTTCAACCTCAGGCCATGCCCTTCAGACCACCCACAACTGGGGAGGGGCAGGATAGCAGAGTAGGGGTGCATCTCCCTGGCTGGCCAGGCCCGCTCAGCTAACTCATGGCCCTTTCTGATGGAGGAGTTCATACACGCATCCTCAGGTCAGGTGCTCACAGACACTTTGGGTGGGCTCTGGGCCCCACCAGCCCCTAGGGTTCCTGGGGGTCTGTGAAGGTGGCCTTGAGTAGCTGGTGGAGGTTATCGGGGCTCAAGAAGCTGTGAGGTGGGCCGTGAGCATGGTGAGCCCCTGAGCACCCGGGGGACGCCTGACTCCATGCTGAGCGCGGGAGGAAGGGCTGTGGGCAAGGCCACGGGGCGGGGGCAGCCTGAAGCTGCTGGGGGCGCCGAGGAGGAAAGTGGGCAGAGGAGGAGGGGGAGCTGAGGCCGAGAGCAGACCAGGGCCCTGCTCACGACAGGTCCACACCAGAGCCTCCTCACCAGGACGGTCAACATGCACAGGAAGTCAGACGGCCAAGACCCCCGAGTCCAAGGAAGACCCCCAGGGACATGAGACCCCCGAGCAGGGCCCAAGGACATGAGATTCCTGAGTCCAGCCCAGGGACGTGAGACCCCCCAGTCAGGGCCCAGGGACATGAGACCCCCCCAGTCAGGGCCCAGGGACATGAGACCCCCAGTCAGGGCCCAGGGACA